AATAAATAAATTATTAAATTAATAAATAAAAATATTAAAATTTTTAAAATTAAATTAAAATATATAAATATATATAATTATTAATTATAATAAAAAGTTAAAAAAAATATATTAATGTTAATTATATTAAATTTAAAAATATAATAATTAACGGTTTAATTAAAATATTAAATAAAAATAAATTTAAAAAATTTTAAAATTAATTTAATTTAATAAATATTAAAAAATTATTAAATAAAAAAATAATTAAAATTTTAAATAAAAAAGTTTAAAAAAATTAAAATATTTTAAATAAATAAAAAAATTTAATTATAAAAAAATTACCTTAAAATATTAAATTTATAAAATTAAATTAAAAAGGTTATTTAAAATTATTTTAATTAAATTCGTTTAATAACTTTATTTAAAAAAATATATTAAATTAATTAATTTTATATAATTTAAAAATAATTTAATTACTTATAATTTTTTATATTTCCACTTATACATTAAAGTTTTACACCTTAAATATATATGCAATTTTAACGCTTAATTAAGCTATTTATACAGCTAAAAGCGCTTACCTACTTTGTGACAGGTTGTATCTTAAGTCTGTTTAACGACTTAACCGTTTACCTCGGGTCGAATTCAAAGACTTGGCTCCTCCTGCAGTTCGGCTCTCATAAAAACCCTTAGATGATTGGCACTGTCGCAGCAGTATATTATCGTATTGTGGCCAATAGGAAGTCTGGGATTCGTACCCTCGAGGACCTCAAAGGAAAAAGGATTGGAAGTTTAATATCACTTCATCCAAATACTTTGTCCTCGCATACCTTATAGCAGTGGAGCTAGAACCTGCGGACTATACGGTTGTAAATGGACTCGGATGCTTACAAGAGCCCTGCGCTGCTAATACGTTCCCCGCCATGCTTAAAAATGGAAGTATCGACGCCATTGGGATATGGAAGCCCTCAGTCGAGTTAGGAGTTAAGGCCCTCGGCTCTGATGCTATTATGTTTAGAAATAATTAAATGGTGTATTGAGAAATATACAATCTCGCCACCACAACCGAAAAGCTTGAAGACCCAAAAAAGAGGAAAGAAATAGTGCAATTCCCAAAAGCCTTAAAACAAGCATACAATGTTTTCTAGAATGATCCTGCAAAAGTCACCCCTCAAACCACAGAAGCTGTTAAGACTAATAGCACGATGCTGAAAGCAGCCTGGCCCGTTCATAAATGGGATGTCCGCATGCCGCCTGGTATTTTAGAAATTCTAGTCGAAGTAGACAAGTTTGTGGCTTCCATGTTAAACGGGAAGTGTTTTCACGAGACTCCCTAGCTACACTTATAAATAGATGCAAACGTCTTAAAGGAAGTTTTTTGAAGCTTGATATATGAGCTACAATCCTAGAACAAAATCAAAGTCAGTGTAAAGCTTGCCCGATGGTCATTAAATAAATAATTTGAGGTTCTAAATGTCCCAAGATTGTCCCATTCGGAGATGGGATGGTTGATCGTATGGTAAGTAATTTAGCGATGGTATTGTATGTAAAACACGAAGTTCTCAAAGGAATGGAAACTTTAATACTATGATATTCTGCGTATAGATGAATAAGTGTCGTTGAAAGGGATACGGGGGGGTATAAAAATGAATTACTCGATGGGGAAAACTTAAAAAAATTCGACACCTGTGTGATTCGAACACACGCCCCCGAAGGGAATGCCTTCCTATCAATTGATCTCAATAGCAGGGCATCGCGTTAACCACTCCGCCAAAGTGCCGCTAGTTGCCTTTACGGCTTTCAGGGTTAAACATTTCCCGCTCAAACTAGCCCTATATCCGTACTTGCACATTAAACCAACCTAGCTTTCACCTAAAACCTAAAACCCAGGGGCAGATTGACGAATGATCATATTTAATTAGTGTTTGATTAGGTAGTAGCTATAATAATACCCAAAATTCAATCATTAGATACAATGCTCCTACGGTATTAGAAATTCATCCTGACTCATCTTCCCTAGAAAATACCGTTAGACACTACCTCCTTAGCCGGCTCTCTAACGCTGATTTCCTTTCACTCTTTGGACGCTCAGTTGAACTTCAGTCGAGAGTTGTGAAGTGAAGTGAAGTTGTATTCGTTCATCCTCATTAGGTAGTACTATAGCGTGTATTAACCCTAGGTATAACCATGCTACGGAAGCTAGTTAGAACTTAGCGAGGAACAAACAGGTCGATTCCAACCGTGTTCAGGTGTAAAAAAAAAAAAAAAAAAAAAAAAAAAACGATGGTAGGTTGATCTATGTTGGTATAGATGATTGGTCCCGATTTGCACGTGAATCTACTTTTAGACTAAATACCTAGATATGAATGATGTGCCATCAGAGGTGTCCTTGGTTCATGACCGTCAGCCTAGTAGGTTAAGCTGTAAGTGTCTTACCTAGTGGTTTAGATATCCCTTAATGAACAAAGTTACAACGTATCTTAATGGTTTCCCAGTGGCTATAAATTCTCTACAAATATCATAAAATAGACAGAGGTACGTAAAGCCATAAGGAGGATTTAGTCGGGCCCAGAACGTACCTAGCAACCGTATTCTTACCTAGAATAGGCGGAAACCCCTGCCAGAGTGTACTACTGGTGTGCCTAACGCTAGCCATGTGTGATTTCTTTCAAGTTTTATTGACTAAAGTACGTCCGGTTTCCAATATGTACCTCGCCTAATGTCAAGTCACCAAATATATACACCCAAGGCGAGGAATTCATGATAGTATGCTTGACGAACGGTCTCTTGGGCCTTTTATTTTTGGGGAAATGTAAGTCAGCGGAAAATATTCCATTGTTGCTTCACTTATACTACTAATGGTGATGGCGTGAGGTGTGGCAAGTGTGTCTGTCTATTGCGTGACCTCGTTCGGGTGAGATCGTTGCCCCTCATGATCCTTGGACCGTAAAGGATTAAACATGTAAGTTAAGCTAAGACGCCTCTGTTTAACTTATCTGTCCCAGGAAATTGATGTTACACCCCACTGATTGCCTGAGGTGTATGTCATCTACAGAATATAGTAAATGATAGGCAACTACTTACAGTTCATCTAGCTCCCTCGGCCAGCAATAACAAGGCTTGTTCGATGTAAAGGGTATTGGGTAGTAGCCTTGGGAAACTGTCTGCGACCACTGCTACCTCATTTGCAGAGCCTCGCTAGACGAGCCTAGGTGTAGCATAAAGAAATTACCGCAGCCTAAGTCTCATTAGGTGTGATACTTACATGATGACGATGCCCCTAGCGACCAATAATACTTAAGGGCCTCATCGCCTCGGCGTGAGAGCTAATTGGGTGGTTGATAGATGTAGTTTGGATACTGTCGAATGATAAGCACCGAGTCTTCATGATATGATCCAGAAACAAGATATCGTAAAAGGATGCAAAGCTAGAGTGACATGACATGTGATAACAGACAGGTAAACATGTAGGAGGGGGGCGTGGGCGCCTCGTTTGTATTTCATATGTAAATAATTTCTTACTTCTACCCCTCATAAAGCTGCAGACCATGCTGACGGCAACCAAGGCTAGAGATGCGGAAGCCGTTAATGTGCCAGCCTTGGTATTAATCTTCGAGCATTAGCGCTAATATTTATAAGTTCGCCCTGTTGGAGAAAGCCCGTACGATGGACTACGTGTCAAAATCACGCATACATACATCTAACTCTAGGGATCGGGGTCGATCAACCTTAGACCTACCTAGGTCCCTAGGTCACGGAATTTCAGGGCGGTGGCTTTCTATCACTTCGGGCGACCATTGGATGGCAGGGGCGGCAGACCAAGCATAGGTCTATACAGACCGGGCGACCACCGGGCACACCTACATACGACTATGAGAAGGGATGGAAGCTCCAAGTGCTTATGTCGACAATGGGATGTTGTCGTAAATCGAACACCGGCGACGCCCAGGTTCCTAGCATTTCTGGTAGGAGTTTTAGAATGAGGAGAAGTGCAAAATGTTATTATAGTCAATCGGATAAGTGCTAGCTCATAACCCCCTGATTCGAAACATATATGTTCAGGACCAGCCCTCCCCACAGAATCCCCATGGGGTGATTTGGTCCATCGCCTTTTTGTGCATCTTAAGAAATATAAGATCTATAAACGGCTCTTAAATCTTAACTCCCTTTAGGTTGTGTTCTGATCATACACAACTCGGGTGCCTCATACTCCGAACCAACTAGACGTCTATATTTTGCCTTGTGCAAATTTCCTTCTCAGACAACCACCTCTGTGCGGCTGAATCATCACCACGATGGCTGAGAATCACGGCGCGCTGCCCCCAAACGGTGCTTATAGAGCTCAAGGACCTGTCGCTCCTACGGGATTCGGCAGTCGTCCGGTAGGACAGCCACAGTCTATGCCCCAGCAAGTAGTCCCGCCCCGAGTTGGACTCCCGGTGGAAACGACTAGGGGCCCTTCTGTTAAGATTTCCGACGTAAGCCGCGGTCTCATGACCATAGATGACATGAGAGAAGATCTCGCAGAGTATGCCCTCTTCCGATTCGAGAAATACCCAGTACAAAGTCGATATGACGACGAAGGACGATTGCAACTCCCTACATGGGATAAGGCAATTAGATCCCGGGTTCAGAGCATGTCGACTGGGGAGATAAAACGTCGGATTCAACATCTTAATAGGAAGACTCGCACCCCTACCGACAAATTGCGATCCCTAAGCCCTGCGCTTCAGCGACAAATCGATGAGGCGACAGAGGAGCTCACCGTAAAAAATCCGGACCCAATGAATTATCGATGGGTACTTGTACAGCTGGATCATCAACTTGCGGAGATCGATCCGCATACTTTCGTAGCTGGAGGAAACCATCCACAACCCCTAAAACACCATAGCGTACCTAGGAGGCGAGCGTATCGACAAACGAATAGGAATAAACCTAGGTCTTTCAAGAGGATCTCATTGGCAACATACTTCAAGCGTGTACCTAAAGCAGAGGCTGACATACCCTCTCTCTACGAAGCGAAAAGAAGAATGCTCTTCTCACAAAATAATAACATCACCCATCCGCATCCGCATCCGCAGCCACAGCCACAACCACAATCACAACCACATCATGGTTCGAATCCCCGAATATCCCCCATAGGACCTGATCTTGTTGAGGGTAGGCCACCATTGGGGCCGAATGGGAATCGCCCACAACCGGTTCCGACACGTCCTAATGGGCCAGGGCCAGGAACCAGACGTCCTGCTATGAATAACACTGTAGCTGGTAGCGGAGAAAAACCAAAAGCTGCCGGTATAAAGCACAATAGGCTTGAAAGCGACTCAGGATACTCCGACTGTTTGTCGGATAGGTCGTTTCATAGTCAAATGACGCCGGACACCTCCTATTCGTCCGAATCGCTTAATAGGGGTAGAAACCGCGGACGAGTCCACAATAAGGATCGTGTACCGGTTCGGAGCTTGAGCAGAAGACAGGATGCGAATAGACTTAGTCGGGGCTTACCTGAACATCACACATACCACAGCAATCATTTTGACATCGGAAATGGGGCTAGGATGCCGCCTACTTTGGGACCTCTTCCGCCCCAGATGACATCCCCTGTTGATATCGACAGAGCTACAGACGATGCTTACCTCGCGGGCGTCCTCCGTGGGAGAAACGATGCGAGGATGGTACAACAGCGAGCGCGTCGCGAAGCTCGGTACTTAAGGCCTAATCCGCGCTTCATCTCAGCAGCGAGGTCGCCAGCTCCTCCATACAGAAGACGTATATCTACCTCTAATCGACGAGGCGATATCGATGAAGAAATATTGCGTCTCAACCTCTTATCTCTTAATGAGGATGAAGAGGATTACGATACTGTATTGCGACAAGTGGATGGCCGTCGACGAAGAGAGTTTGAGTATCTCATGCAGGAAGGGTCAGTCTTGGAAGACGATCCATTTGACCGAGAGAGGCCATCATACCCGAGATATAGTGGGAGACGGTATGAAGAATCTTATGTTACGGATGACTCCGATAGTGAGTTTAGTTTGCCGCGAAGGAGGAGGCATTTTCACTACTGAACGCAGGTGGTGAGACGAATTAGGTACTTATTTATTTTCTTTATAATTATGTTGGTTGGGTAGTTACACCAATTTGCAACTTGAAATGTTGAGTTATAGAGATGCGGAATGTATGCGGTACAGGATTGAGATTGAGTATATCATGTGACGTATAATATAAATATGTGTATAAGGTACTTTTGCTAGTGCGGATGAGCGATTTCGTAAGTGACGTCTAGCGGGGTTTAATTACTTTCAGGTACAATACAATACATACATGTACCTACCTACGTAAAGACCCCGCCTACGGAAAGTGGGCTGTACCTATGAGATTGAATTAAACATGGAAATCATCCGTTTTTACTTTGCATCAACATAGTCCGAAGACATTCTCCTCCTTCTTCCGCGTTATTTTCTAATTACTTCTACTCTTCAATATTAAACATTCTTCCTTCCTGGTCTTCCTGGAACTTTAGTCCAAATATCTTATCCACCTATCTAAGCTCAATCTATCTCATTGCCCATCATGGCGCGCAAGTTCTTTGTCGGCGGCAACTTCAAGATGTAGGACCCCTCCATATATACATACCTACGTAATATATATCCATGTCCCTCGAAGGCTGGTAAACGATATTACTAGGGGAAGCTGGGGCAAGATCACAGGAGCTGATACGAATTGGTAATTAATATAGGAACGGGACTCTCTCGTCCATCAAGGAGATTGTCGATAACTTGAACAAGGCTCAGTTAGATCCCAACGTTGGTAAGCTAACAATTTTTCCCCTTTTATTCATATATTCTAGGCATAAGAGTATGGCTTTGCTCATTATGTCTTCCTATTTCTAGAGACCGTCATAGCTCCGCCGGCCATCTACCTCCTCTTTGTCCGCGAACACCTAAAGAAGGAAATCGGCGTTGCTGCGCAGAACGTTTTTGACAAGCCAAACGGTGCCTTCACCGGTGAGATTTCAGCCCACCAACTTAAGGACGGTGGTATCGACTGGACCATCCTCGGTCACTCCGAACGACGCACTATCCTAGCTGAGAGTGATGAGGTTGTTGCTTCCAAGACTAAGTACGCTACCGAGAATGGCCTCAGCGTCATCTGGTGCTGTGGCGAGTCTCTAGAGCAGCGAGAAGCTGGCAAGACCCTCGAAGTCATCGCAGCCCAACTAGCTGCCTTAAAGTCGCAGATCTCGGATTGGAGTAAGATCGTCATTGCCTACGAGCCTATCTGGGCCATTGGCACCGGCAAGGTTGCTACAACCCAGCAGGCCCAGGAGGTACATGCATCTATCCGTGAATGGCTAGCCAAGGAGGTGAGCCAGAAGGTTGCCGACGAAACCAGGATCCTGTACGGCGGCAGCGTCAGCGAGAAGAACTGCAAGGATCTCAGCAAGGAGAAGGATATCGACGGCTTCCTCGTTGGTGGTGCCAGTCTTAAGCCCGCATGTAAGTATTCACCAACTGCCGCTTGCTTCTACGCCATTGGAATAGGCTAATCAATTGTAGTTGTGGACATCATCAACAGCAGGTCTTAAACGAGACAAAACTGGCATGTTAGCAGGAAGCTACCTCCAATGAGAGGGATGATGATTGATAATTAGATGAGAAGGTTCATTTATGGACTATAAATCCTAGGCTATCGCCTCTCTTCTCACTGTCTAATTTAAAGCCGCAGTAAAAGCGGATTATCACTGGGTTTGGAAGTTTCCTTAGAAGTATCTTTAAGTGAATTCGTCATGTTTTTGTTCGTAAATGTTACCTCGGACTATAGGCCTAGGCTCGTGGTATATGTGCCTTTAGTTGTGTTATACACTCTGCCCATATATAGTTGTACAAGGGTGGCAGGTTCCCGGGTGCCGCTCTTCTAGATCTTATTTATACCGGCATGCCTGTGCCGTGGTAAGGACTCCATATTCCTCTCACACTCTCGGTGATACTGGTAACCGGCTTGTTGACCTTCTTGATTTTCTCGCCGCTCGCGTCTCGTAGCAGTTCCAACTTCTTCAGTATTTGAAGAGAATCCATATTCTTGACGCAAATGGACTTTTGCTTGCCATTGATATAGTGGCCGATAAGCACGGGGTGTTTTCGTGGTCGAGGGGAAACGGCGAATTCGATCTGGGGATGGGTTGAGGCGAATTTGGCCAACTGGGATTTGATAAAGGAGCTTTTCATGAAGGCATAAAGTTAGAATTGGAATCCTTCGAGTACGACAATTCAGACGGGATTGATCTTACTTCATTCCTCTAGAACTTCCGGAATAGTCGCAATAGTGGATATCTATTTTCTTGCATTGCAAGATGAAGGCACCGATGCCATTCTGATACAGTGTTAGCTATTTTCTCTGAATACAATAGTAGCTAATTGAAAATTGATATTTATTACCTGGCCGACGGAAACCTTCTCTAACGCCCTGATCGTCATTGTTGCGCCTCTGGGTAGTTGGGTAGTTGGGTCGACAGCAACGTCTTCTATTGCTCAACTGTGAAATTTTGTTTTACAGAAATATACAGATTATGAAATACATTAGGTAATCCCATTCACGAGCTGCTGGGGTGGGGGTGGGGGTCACGCACTAAACCAGATACGTGATATGGATTGCATGTACCTGTGCACGGACGGTACATACATTACATATGCTACTTCGGCAAGTACTTCTCTCTAAGTCACTGCCTGGTCTGGAAATATGTCGGCTAAATTTCTTGTTAACATCACTGAGTCGATTACATGTAGGTACATACTTTTGGGCAGGTACGAGAGTACCTAGCTACCTACACTAGGCCAAGTCGAAATTTGAATGGAGCATTGGAGCTTCCAAGCAATTTCCTCGACTTCCCCCAACGACGCGAAAAAAACAATTAACTTCATTCTTTTTATTCTTTCATCCATCAATGAAAGACTGTGTCTATCCTTGATCCCTTCCTTGTTTCTCCATCTTCCATTTAACTTTCACATTTTATTCATCCTTGTAAATTTGTTATTTTCTGCTCCCGTTTAAAGATCGACGACGCGACTATGACAGACAAGCTTCCTCCAAATCTTCTTGCTCTCTTCGCGCCGCGGCCGCCCTTGCGATGGGTGCCTGCTCCCGATTTCCCTCCCGAGCAGCGAAGGACGCATAACATTACCGCCATCGCCAATTATCTTCCTGCTCTTGCTTCTTATAAGGACAATGACGGATACCAACCTACCGAGAGCTGGTTGCAGATGCGCGATAGGAAAAAGTTAGAGAAGAAGGCCCAACAAGAGAGGTTGTTGACCGAGGGTCCGCTAAACTGTTCGTGCTTCTCTATTTTCATCCTATCAACTCTTATCATAATACTAACATAATTCTTTTCTAGACAAGCCTAACGAGGATCCTAACATACGTGGCGACCCGTTTAAGACTTTAATTGTTGCGCGACTGAGTTATGATGCCACCGAGCATGACCTGGAGAAAGAATTTGGGCGCTTTGGTCCCGTAGAACGCGTACGTTATAATCTATATTCTTACCGCTTCTTAGCCTTCTGTTCTTATGCTAACATCTTTACAGATTCGTATTGTGACCGATACACATGCCCACGAGAAGCCGAATAAGAAAAAGAAGCCCCATCGCGGATATGCTTTTGTTGTTTTTGAACGTGAGAAAGACATGAGAGGTAATACTACCATTAATATTTCCCCTTGGATACGGTTCTGCTTAACCCATGTCTCTCACTCGAGATTTGGCCCTCAAGCTTGCCTATCTCCTCCCCCCTCCCCCCTTTTTAACCCCCATTTTCGCCTAGACGAGGTATAAATATTTGGTAAGGCTTTACTGACAAATGCGCCTTGTTGCGCACGTGTAACTAGCTGCTCTAGATGGTTGCGATGGCATTCGCATTAGAGACCGCCGAATTAAGGTAGACGTCGAAAGAGGTCGAACAGTTAAGGGCTGGAAACCTCGTCGGTTTGGTGGTGGCCTGGGCGGCCGCGGATATTCTAAAGCCGCGCCTCCTCAGCCTCGCGGCCCCGGATTTGCGGCCGGTTTCGGTGGACGTGAAGGCTTCCGCGGAGGTTTCCAGGGCCGTGGAAGAGGAGGAGGAGGAGGGTTCGGGGGTGGTCGTGACCGCGGTTTCCGAGGAGGAGGTAGTGGCGGTGGCGGTGGCGGAGATTTCGGCTCCGGTCGTGATCGCGGCTTCGGTCCCCAGAACAGCTATAACCCACCTCCCAACGCGCCGGCCGGTCCTAACTTTGGTGGACGCCGTGGGTTTGGCGGAGGTGATCGGGACCGCAGTGGTCCAGGCGGACCAGGCGGACCAGGCGGACCAGGAGGACCGGGTGGTCCAGGTGGTGGGTATGACTCGCGCAACGGCAGTCGCTCATATGATGATAGATCAGGCGGACATCGTGACGGAGGTAGATTCGGCGACCGCGACCGCCGAAGCGGCGCCAACTTCGAGCCGGTTCGTGGCGGACGAGAGTATCGCGACTACGACCGGTCGAGAGACGACGAGAGCCGGAAACGGGGTTACGAAGGCACGTACGAGGATCCGCGAAAGCTACGACGCTACTAAACCGACCGATCTTATCGAGACAAGAGCCGTTTGTCTTGGTGGGTATCTTCTGTCTTCCGTACTTCTGCATCTGTGCAAAACATGCCGACTTTTCCTTCTGCCTTTAGCCACCAAGGGTAAGCAAGGGTAAGATGGGTTTGAAAGCTACCGAATGAACGACAGCTACTTGATACCAGGCGACGACTAGTCAAAAGGTAAAGAAAGCAGACGAGACGAGACGACACCAAAATGCCGGGCAGCCAGTTGAACTCGAGTTTGACCCGGAATCCTACTTTATCCTCATCTAGTAGCGGCTCCTGTTTGATTGTCCCATTCATCTCCTGGATTACCGCAACCCTTATTGATACCAGAAATTGGCGAGGTAATACGTTTTTCTTTTTAACACTTACATGTACTCTATGATGACCGTAGGGAATAATTGCAAGGTCCAGTTAAGTCGCAAGCAATAAATGGCGAGTAGTTTTTATTTCCTCAGGTAAGGTCGGAGGTAAGAAATGACGGGTATGCCTACTGACCGGGGATGATGTACTGTCAAGTGGAAGGGGAGGCGTTGGATGGGAAGTGAAAAAAAATATAATGAGTCGAGTTGTGTAATCCCGTATATTAGCAATAGCTTCTATTCTTGCTTGACACGTTTCTCGTGAGACATAGCATCGAATTGAAATGTAAGATAGTCACGAACAAGTTACAAGTTTTTAGACGGCTGTCGCTGTCGTCTTGGATGATGACGACTCATATAATGCCTTTCGACCTAGATAAGCCTAAGATGCCAATGCCAATGCCAATGCTAATGCGAGCATAGCGAAATAGTGAAAACCCGAATTAATCATGAAAAACCTTTCCGGCCCCTATCTTTTTGCCTCTGCCAAAAAACGCCAGCAACCATGGTATCGCCGTAAATGCACATACGAGAATATATACGGGGGTAGGGGGAGGGGGGAAACTACAGGAATAGTGAGTATAGTGCCAGCAACGGACATGTGTTTCCCCTTAATCCCTTAATCGCTTCCCTCGTCCTCAACACCGTCCATGGCCTCCGGGTCCACGGGCGTGACTTCGGACGTAGCGGCGCTCCAGTACGCGACGACTTTGATCTTAAACTCGCTCATGCACACGCTGAACAACTTCAGCAGCCTCGTCTGCCGCGAGTCCAACACATCGCCTTCCCGACACACCACATACCCTTCTTCCTTACGCGCTCCCTCAAGCGCCTCCTCCAGCACAACGCGCCCCTTGACCATGCGCACGGGCATGCCCAGGCGTCGTAGCTCCGGCTCCAGGGTATGTCCTAGCGGGACGTCGTGCTCGGCAGGCACCTCGCCGCCTGTGGCGTACAAGGTTCCCGGGGGGATGACGAAGTCTCTGGGTGCGACTGCGCCGGCGCGCGCGAAGTCGACTTTTTCACCCGCTAGAGACTCTAGGTACGGGAGGAGTTGCGCAGGGGGCCGGTTGCTGAAGATTAGGCCGACGGTGCCGCGCAGGTACGGGGTTAGCTTGTATATGTTGTCGGCGTAGCTGTCCTCGGGGCTGTGGCCGAGGGCGCGGGCCATGAGTTTTGTTTTGCCGAAGAAGATGCTACAATGGTATTAGACATTTGTATGTATGCATATATATATATTTGGGTGAATAATACGGAGGGAAGAGGGGTGACATGACATACCGGCTATCGGATAATTCCTGCCTCACATCTTTCAGGTATGTGTTGCGCATGTTGTCGACGGCGAAGATGAAGCAGTGCTGGTACTGGGGGATGCATTCGCGGATATTTTCGAAGAGGCGCTCCTTGTTCTCGCGGGTCTTCTTGTTGACCTGCGTGAGGTGTATGACTTTGGAGCGCTTTGACTTGGGCATCACGGCGGTTTGTTTATTTTATTGTATTGTAGTAGATCAAGTCCAATGGTTTGAATTGGGTTCGCTGTTTGAATATAGTCTTCTTTGGTTGTCACTGTAATCCGTAGGAAAAAAATAAAAAAAGAAGAAAATATGCAAGTTCGCAAAATTCCTAATCGATAAGACGGGCGGTCTACTTCGTACCTTTGCCCCGCTGAAGCTTGGAACAGGGGTCTTTACTAGACTGATGCATTAAACCAATCAGCATTGAGAACTTTATACTTAGATCCCGGACCCAAGAAAAACCGACGTCTGTTATCGATAACATGAATGAATAACGACGATTTCTTGTTAGGAAACTCGGACTTTAGCTCGTGAAGCTTCAGAAGCAAGTTTTCAATCGTCATCCCGATTCTACATATAAGCCTTTTTAGCTGCTACCGTCAGAACCCCCTGTTTCGACCTTCTTTTCGAGTCACCCCTTTTACACACACCACAGACGATATGGACGGGTAAGTCGACTTGAAGCCGGGACAACCAACACCCACAAAGGAAATATAGAAATATACAACTAATACGATTGGAATATACAGGTTAACAGCATCCGAGACGCGCGAGCTGGAGCAGCGCATGCAGAAGCAGCAGATGAAAGTCTTCTTTGGAGTACGTCGATCCAGTTCTTAAATTATCGTCATAATACACATATATACGTGATATACGTCAGACTGCTAACACCTACTCCAAACAGCTCTTTAGCAACTTAGTCGACCACTGCTTCATGTCCTGCATCGACGACTTCACATCCAAGTCCCTAACAGGCCGCGAGACCGGATGCGTCGCCCGCTGCGTCCAGAAGCACATGGCCCTATCCCAGCGCCTCAGCGAGCGGTTCCAAGAGCACAATGCCCAGATGACGCAACAGCAGCAGCAGCAGGGAGGCGGATTCCGATAAGCCAATCCTTCTCGACGATAGATAGCGCTCTTGTTTTCCCTTGTTGATGGTTAGTGGGCTATATGTATATTACGCTCGGAGCTTTGAGGTTTTGGCGTAGCTGGCTGGCTAGGACTGGATATATCTTGTCTATGTCCCACGTTATGTCCCACGTGAAATAACATGGAAAACGCTAGGTCGGGTAAGGCGACCTTAACTATGAGGGTTGCTAGGTGTCCCGTCGTAACTGGCACGGGAGCCGAGGCTGGGAATAATAGCCTTGATGTATTAATAGGGACTATAGGGGGTTCCCATCTGGGGATGATACCCCGGCTCTAGAGATGAGCCTTGAACATGACTATTTCAACTCCGTATATGAACTTACACTAAGGTTGTCTACGGATTATATAAAGCACCGTCGCAAATGTCGTAAATTCTTAACTCCCTGGGCAAAAGAACAAGCGCCGTTGATTCTAATCGTCTACCTATCCTACCTACCTAATGCCGTGCTCATTCCAAACCTTCACTTAGTACAATTCGCACGAGCTCCAACTGCTCCACAACCTTCTCCTCGAGCTTGTTCTCGAACCCTCTGCCCTTGTTCCGATCCGAGGGCGGCATACTCCTCCACTCCGCCTCGCGTGGCCCCAGCGTCACCAGTCTCTCCCTTAGGAGCTTCCGGCGGTCTATCCAAAACTCGACGCTCTCTAGGAGTGCCGCCGAGTCCCACTCTACTGCCGGAATATCCCTGGCATTATTAGCACGCAGGGCGCTCAGCACGCGTGTCATCAGAGCCAGCGAATGAATCTCGGACACAGATAGAAGCGTGATATAGTCGCGGTCGTTGCGGTCTCGCCTTCGACTGTCGCTAGGGGGCTCGAACCTATCGACGCTGGATTGCATGAGATTGGGAAATTGGTTAAGCACGTATGCGACTTCAGGGGCAATTGTAGTACCCAATGCCGTCAAGATATTGAGAAGCAAAGGAACAATACCCTTAGCCCATATGCTATAGCAGCGTTGTAATCCAACCGAATCAGCGAAGGGCTTCACGTTCGAGCGACGGAGGTAACTAGCCAAGTTGGCCGTCGTGATATGGTTAAGCAAACCGTCGCATGCTAATTGTTCTGCTATCAAAGGCAACGTGGATAATTCAAGTAGGAAAAGTATTGATAGCTCTCCATATATAGGATCGCCTTGATCGGCTATCCTGTCCGCCCACGAGTACAGAGATACTGCCGCCTGCACGACGTCGTGCGCGGTCAGGATATTGAGGATCTGCGTTTGATTCTGGTCCATCCCCGGAAAGCAAAGACAGGCTTGCAGGACGGCATTAAGAAGGGCAAAGTCGTTAGGCAAGACAGATGGTTGCGTATCGTGGACCAAAGATACCAGAGTTCGGAATCCTTTGGCAACGGTGATGTCGATGATGCTCAAAACGGCCTGAGTAACTGTTGCAGCGGACACGGCACTCCCGTGCTTAGCGGAAGACGCGTTTGTCGTTAGTGATCGAACCTGAGCTCGCAATGTGACGTATAATAGCTTAAGAAGTGTTCGGTATAGCGAAATGTTCTCCGATCCATACGGCTCTTGAACGCCACTAACTGTTGCCCACAAGGCCGTCAAAAGCTGGGTGATATCGCCGGGGGATGGGGCGCTGTCGACAACCCTTTGCACAAGCATAAGTGCCAAGTTCACTCGCGACTCGGCAAGGCGCTCGAAGACTTGGTCGTGACTTTGCGTCTCTTCATTCGCCTCCAAGCATTGCTGAGCAACCTGTAAAGACTGCTTTTTTAGAGTATCGTTACTTGGTAGACAGGTGCTGAGTTCAAGGAGTAGGAATTCCCAAGCATGATAAAGACTCTGTATATGGTTTAGCGGTAACTCGATTCTGATCTGATGTCTAGGAAACTTACGATTTGGGCGTCGACTAGCGATAGATTGGCGTTGGCCTTTTCCATCTCGCTTCTGAACCCGTTATTCCGAGGACCAACCCAGCCCGAGTCGAACGCGAGCAGCTTGTCCGCAAGGCTCAAGGCATAATAGAAATCGACTCCTAAAGACCGAGGCTCGAGTAACGTCCGTTTGAAATTATCGAGGGAACAGCCGGGATATTGGTTACTGAAATTCCGGGCGAAATTGACATGAAGGCCCCGGTTGTAACCGGAGACAGCCACACCGTCTCGCAGGTAGTAATCCAGATCGCGTGTCAATTCCTTGGCGAATGCATCGGCTTGGCCTATCTGCCGAAGGTGGAAGAGTTGCATAGCGAATATCTCGGCAACGTATGCAGCGATCCGTGCTTCGTTGCACGCCCGTAATACGTTGGACTTAGAAGTAAGGGACGACGGCTTAAGGTCTCGTACAAATCTTCGTAGCTCCGTCAAAAAGTTGGTATTCTTTTGTAAGGTGAAAATAGTCCACGGCCAGAAGTTTTGGGCTGAGGTGATGAAATCTAGAATTGAAAGGGCTTCTGACTCCTCAATCTCAGATATAGAGCTAAGCCTGTCGAGAGCAGATGTGAGCACGGAACTTGAAGACACTTCTGTTGCTTTGCCGGTCCCATTCTTAGCATCGCGTGGTGTCTTCCCCGTAAGAAGACAATTCGCCATCCACTGTTGCCTGTTTCTAACAATGGTCGAAAAGAATCGCCAGATCGTATTGACTTCCTGGGCTTGATCAAAAGGTTTGTCTAACGTCGACAACAGTTGGATGAACGAACGGGACGTCTGAGGACCAAGATATCCAAGTAAAGAAGGGGGCTCTCCTGTACTTTTGCCGGAACTGATCACTAACGCTTCCAGAAGCTCGATAGCCGGTCCTCTGAAAGTATCATGGCAGGCACAAACACGGGCAACAAATGGCGTCGCTTTAAATAGTTGATGCTCAACCGTGGTCGAGGACCGATCGAAGAGATTCGCCACTCTCACCAGATTCTTCGCCAGCCCGAGCACCGCCTTCGTCTGGGCCCGGAAAGCCACGGACCTATTCGCATATACGGTAGAACCGTATGGTTGCGTTGCCGCAACCAGAGTAACGAGAAGTGGCTGGACACGGAGGCTTCCGGCCGATGGCGCGAGGAAACTATCCAAGACATACTTAGCGGCTGGCTCTAGAGCCGACATCAAAAATGTCTTCGAATTTATATCGTCCATACTAAATGTGTAGTAGATCGCCTTGTCCATAATCGGTACCACGTCACGTACGAGGACCATACGATCTAGGGCGGACGCGAATCTCCATGTAGACGAACTCTCTAGGATATCCATCGACGTTCGTACAATTGACAAGGAAATCTGGGTCACTATCTTGTCCGAAACCCCTAACCATATATCCTGGGTTTGCTTTTGCCTGGAATTTGTCTTTGCACCCGTTTTACGCCGCACCGAACTGCTCATGGCGCTATCGATGAGACTGGAGAATAGACGCACGGCAGACATCAGGAACTCCAACCGAGTATCAGATAAGTCAAGGCTCCCAACTAGCCTGGCAAGTCGACCTCCTTGGCTTTGGTTGCCAAGGATTGTGCATCGCGACATATACGACCAGACTCTGCCTGGACATATCGATAGAACAGCGTGGAGGAATTGCAGGCAAGCCGCTACAGCGGCTAACACGTTGCTCTCTGGGTCTGCGTCTAGAAGAAGGTCCAACGTGTCACAAACAACAGATATGATATCTTTAGTTCGTGACAACGCTCGGCTGGCCTCGCCTACAATGGCCAACGCAGCTTCGGGAGCTTCAGAAGAGTTTTCACCCGAGGTTTGAATTCTTACGCACTCTGTACGGACGAGTGTAGCAAGTAGCGACACTGCCTCTGCGGTATCTTCCGTAGTAAGTTCTCCGAGCTGCAAATTGTACTTGCTTGCAACAAGATTGGCGTCCAGTCTCTTTCCAAGCAGAGCCAGGGCAGAGTGTTCATACTCCACCTGCACAATTCTCCCTTCGTCCACAATGAAGCGGCCATAAGTACCTGCCGGTATTATGAAGTGTTCGTCTTCTGCCGTTATTCGTCTCCGGCTTGCTACTGGGACAAATAGGGGGAAATCTTCGAGAAACTGGAAGCTATTAGAATTATCCTCCTCGTAGGCAAGTTGATAATCGTTGAAATCGTCGGGTAGTGTAAATGTAAGCGTCGGCGTTTTTTGAAGGAGCTTCAAAATGAGCTCGCAATTATTGTCGTTAGTATGCGTAGAATAAAGGGTTCGGCACAAGGTAATGAATGGGATAAATTCGTAAGGGAACCGGTTCAGCGCCTGATGGAAATAACTTTCAAGAATGATCTCGTCGTTAAAGGCTAAGGTAATAACGTCTTGCTCCGCAGAGATAGTGCGAGATTGTGAGAGATCCCAGTAACCTTGACCACCAGACAGAACGGCTATTAGGGCGTAAACCGGCTCTGATTTGTATCCTACTAAAGGATAGGTAACGCGGAGCAGGTCTAGAAATGCGCATCTCATTCGAGAACCAATCGAATCGGGAAATATCGCATTATCCGAGTTCCCGAGACAAGAGGACATAGTAGCAATAACATCATATACTCGAGCCCGGTCCGTGGCTATAACAGCAAGTACCTGGACCCGTTTGAAATCGCGGTCTAAGCTCTTGTTAATGAGAAAGTCGTCATACCTCCGCTTGTCAATTGTAGTGATGCTCCCCGCCGAGTTCCTCCTACCCAAGGTTGGGACCATCTGCGTGGCCGAATCATAGTTCTCGACAGCCTTTTCGTTTTGAATTGCATCCCGCCTCTCCGCGCGTTCTTGGTAGGATGAGAACATAGCATGTACTACTGGTACCCAGGCAAATAAAACCGGGACGGAATATGACGAGCCTTGGTCAATCAAGCCTTCTAGCACATCGTGGATTTGTTCAAGAACATTCGAAGAGGCAAGGTATTCATCGTCCGTATTCAACTCTACATCTCCCTCGAAGAAACCCATCATCCGAGGAAGGTTAAGAATAGAGAGGGAGATGACACAGACTAGACACTGCAGCGGAACTGCCAAGTCTGGTATGTTTCCCGGAAACTAGAGATAAGGTTAGCAAGGAAGTAATTTACTCACACATCTAGTCTGAGTGACTTACCCCCTGAAGCTGTTCCAAAAAGTCCAGTGTACCAACTAACGAAAACCATTGCTGAGCGAGTTGAGCAGACACGAACACATCGCTTGACAGATCCAGGAGCTGAAAGACAATAACCATGCGGTGAAGAGCTTCAGTAAGTTGCGTATGAATCCATTGCTCGCTGAACTCCTCTGTCAAAAGGATTTCATCATTTACTACCTTATCGAGAGGGGTTTGGGAACGGGTAATGGAATCCGGAAGTAGATTTAAATATTGAGATACGAGGGCGTGGTAGGCCTTGGTGCGAG